GACTTTGTCTAAAAAGATGTGAGTTGTGGAAAAAGCTTTTCTTTCAGCTAGGTTGTTTTTATAGAGTTTTTCTACCATGTGAACCCTGTAGTATTTATTAAGTTGTGAGGTCCTCTACAGCCTTTTTACAGGCTTCATTACTGTGCTGAATCTGTTGCTGAATACCTTAAGCAGAAAAGCTAATTTCAGGAAGGGCGTAAAGGTGCTGTCTTGCTTTGTTAGGGCATCTGATAAGACGAGGCTGAGAATAGGAACCAATACCATGATGCATTCCTCTGAGCATGGCAAACAGACTGAGAGCTGGAGCATGTCACTGGCAGCAGAATATTGAGTCTCTCCTAAGCCCAATTTTCTTGTACTAAGGGAAGTTTGGCTTTAGATGTAGTATCAGCAGTGTGGTAATATGTTATATGGGGACTTTCTGAAAGTGCTGATAAACTACCCCTCTATGAAAGTGATCTAAAGATTTGCAAATGCGTGCGCGTTCACTTATCGAATATTTTATGCTTTAAGTTATGAATTTATATTGATTTCCATCTATAGAAGAAAAGCCCATGGCAGCTGACGAGCATACTCAATCCAGAAGGATTTTGCAGGCCGTGAGAGTGAAATCTGTTCTGACAAGCAACAGTACTTTCAGCAGAGTATTTAGAAAAAAAGTGAGCACTGTTGTGCTGCATCATGTGATGTGAAGGATACGTGTATTGGAACTGTAGGGATCTGCATATGACCATCTGCAGTGCAAGAAAATATTAGCCAGTTTTGTGGGATTGGTTTGGCTTTTCTAACTTAGTTCTTCCTAAAGATTTGGTAGTATGGTTTCAAGAGTGTCCTCCTATGTAGTTAAATTAAACTTATCTAGGTAATATTATGTCATTAAAAAGTTATTGTACTCTGTAGTATTGGTTAAAATAGGAGACAAATTAGATTAAAACAAGTTAGGAAACAAATGAAAGTTTTTGAGAGTGAACAAACATTGGATCAAGGCAGCATTCTCCGTGCATTTTTAAAAATAGGACTATCAGACTTCAGAGTTTTCTTCCCATAATAGTTAATCCTTTGCTAGTTATCTCAAAACAGAAGAAATGGGGATCAAGGAAGTGATGCTGAAGTTCTGCCATTGTTAGTGGCCCTCACAGTACTACAAACTCGTCACTATATATCACGTGTGTGGCACAGAGCCAGTTTGGCTATCAGCAGGTCCAACTTCAATGGAGTTTTCATTTATATCAATTTTATCTCCTTCATTTCATCTTGACTTTCATGTTTTAGAACCAATCACTCAATCTTTTGTTTCCTAGGCATTATTTATGATCAAAGGATTGAATTTATGGATTGCAGGTTCTGAGATGATACAAGAGGAATTGGAACAGATGCTAGTTTCTAGAATGAATGGTGGAACTTAACTGACTCCTCTTAACTTCTGACTGCTACCTGCAGCAGATTTTGTTTCAAGACTCTTGATGCATAAACAAAATTGATTGCATTATCTCAGACCAAAAGGACTGTATGGCTCCGTGTCCTGCTCAGGCAGCAGCCTATGGAAAACAATGGGGGGAGAGCATTAGGTGATGTTATGCAATGATGGTAATTCCCCAGTATTCTCAGGGACTCAGTGATTTTCTGGGCAGGAGGTGTTATCTTTGTATATATACAGTTCTAGTGGCTCTTGCTTACATTAGTTTGTACAATTACTTTTGAACCCTGTACATTTGTGGTATCCCTAGCTTCCTGTAATATGAAGGCATCCACAGTTTTATTACTTATTAAGAGAAAAAGTGCCTTGTTTCATTTGTTTTAACCTGCTCGTCTGGTGGCTTCATATTTTTTTTCCAATATCTTACAGTATGAGAAGTAATTGTTCTCCATTTTTCTTCTCCCTGAACCTCATTAATTTAAATATATTTTTCCTACTTCCTTTCAGTTGTCCTTTTTTCCACAGTGAAGAGTCCTTATTTATTTAGTCCTGCAATAGTTCCACAATATACGTTGTTCCATACCTCTGGTAATTTTCTTTGGTAATGTGATGTTTGTTTTGCAATTCTCAGTGACTTTCAGTTTTTCAGCTGCAAACTTTTTTAAAAAATTTCACTCTTTCCTAGATCATTTCTAAGTGTTTTGAACAGCAGAGACCATAGCACAGATTCATGTGGAAACTGTCCCTTTATTCTGTCTCATTTCACGTGCTTTTAATTAGTTATTAGATCCATGAGAGGTATCCCCATGGGATCATGCTGGCTTACTTTCTTCGGGAACATTTTTTTCAAATGAGGAATTTTTCTCAAATAGGGAATAACTGGTGTGAAAACGTTACTCAGAGCAAATTGACAAATAAAACATTATTTCAAATGAGATACTGAAGACCATGATCTTATTAGTGGTACTGATGAGTAAGTAATGAAACTGCTTACCTAGCCCTAATGTATCTTCTGTGGATCTCCTGAATGAGCTCACCTTTGTGTCTTCTGCACTTGATGTTTGTTTCAAGAGCTGATCTGCAGTAACCCCCAACCATCTCTTGAAGGTACGTCCCCAGCTCAGCACAGTTCTTTGTGCTCTTCCGCTAAGAGCTTGTCCCTGACTTTACTGGAAGGATAACAGAGACTGCAGCTGCTTCTTCACACAGGAGAGAAGTCCAGAGAGCTTTAACATCTGGATTGGTGAGGAAGTCAGTATCTACACAGTGGAAAGAGCAGTTTTTATCCTTGGGGTGAGAGTTCAGTCCACATGGCGACAGCCTGCTGTTAAGCCACTTGGTAAGATTGGAGAGAAGGCAGCTGGGAATCGTTTCAAAGATTTTCTGCACTGGTTTTTGTGGCATCCCTTGCCCAGTAGGGGACAGTGCTGGGAGACCAGCAACACCTGTGGATCCAGAGCTGAACAATTGCAGACGGAACCACAGTAATAGAGAACAGTGGCCACTTTACTGACTGAGGAAAGGTAAAAAGAATACACACATCCTGAACATAATCACTGTGGAGGTTACCCTGTACTCATCTCATTTGAAGACAGAAACAGAAAGGGGAAAGTATCTGAGATTCTTTTACAGGACCACAAGTGAAAAAAAAGTATGTAAGAGTTTTGGAAGGCAAGGAAAAAAAAAAAATAGGTGTTGCAGGAGAGGAAAGTGAGGAAAGCTGAAAGCCTAAGAAATTTATTTTAATTTTATAATAACATTTTCAGATGTTGGATGATGTTAGAGAACTGTTATTTCATGAACTAATAAGAGGAGATGATTCCTGCTCCATAAAGAGGGCAGAAGAAGAATGGCAGGTTCAGAAAAGGAGAGCTAATCTCCCAAGAGATCTAACCTCAGAGTCAGGTTCAAACCTCTACAGCTTGTCTTTCAAGGCCCAAGTATTCTCAGCAACATTACAGTTTTCCAAGCACTGGTGAAAGAAAAAGAACTGAGAATCTTGCTGAGGTGTAGCAGCAGATAGCAGGGAACAATAGTAATGCATCCAGTATTGCACTGCTGGGGTACAATGGAAGCAACAAAGTGAGGAAGTGGGATCCCTTGAACAGAGAATGCTAATGCCCAGAAGAGAAAATGCGGTAGCGGTGGAGGAAGCAGGGGTGGAAATACTGGCAGCTGAACTTCTTTTCCACTAGACTGTCTTACTCCTGTGTTGCTGAGGAACTGAGTATGGACAGGTACCCGTTAGAGTCCTTGTTATAATTTGCTTTGAAAGATACACATTAGGCTGTTTTTGAGAGAGTACATAAGGCTGGTAGTTTCTTCTGGTGTGTTTTGAAGCATCATTCAGAACATTTTAAGGAGCTGCTGTGATAATGAAGATTATAGGGGAAGCTGTGACACATTCAGAAAAGCTAGGTTGTAAGTTTTGATGATATCATAAAACAAGGAGACTACAGTTAACACTCTTGTCAAAACTGTAACCTACACTCTGAATTATGGCATGAAATGTAAGACAACAAGTATCTTCTACAACCCAGTTAGTTATGACATACACGGGAAACACAAGGAAAGTCTGCCCTGGGAACCAAAGGGCAACATTCAAAAAGAGTGGCTGAGAGAAACATGACAGAGATCAACTGAAGCCTGGGAAGCTCAGGCACTGGGGCTTGAAGGTTTTATTAGGCAGTGTCAGATACAGTAGGCTGTATGGCATCCTCTCTTATGATTGCTGTGTGTGAGTTGCTGGGCCATCGTAGCCTCTTCAGGACAACTTGTGGCTCTGTCAGTCTGCCACCTGTTCTCTGCAAAGCCCTGCAGCCTTTTGCATAAGTGCGCTGGTACTGCCTTCTCACCACAGCTTACAAACTTCAAAGCAAGCTGGTGAGCTTCTGTCAGTACTGATCAAGTTGCAGACCACAGCTGAACTTCCACCATGTAAGCCTGGGTTATAAGAACTGCCTCTTTGCTGGAGGCCTTTTCTCTGGGTAAGGATTGCATTACATACATGATGAAAGAAATGAACCCATCTTCAGTCCCCTTACATCTTTTGGATTGTAATTGTGTGGAGTCAGTGTAAGCCACAGTTGCAGTCTCATCCCTCTAATCGTTTGTCCTCTCTGAGGGAATTATTTTGCATGCCTTTATTCTACCCTCACTGCAGCATGCATGTACTTGGTGTGAGCCTTGTGTTAGCATACTAGCAATCTCTACAAATGCAAATAAATATCTCATTAGTAATGTAAATCTTTTGCTCTTTTCCTGTTGCAACACTGCATCTCCGTACTGCTGATCAGCCACAGTTCCAATGTTAAGTTTCTCTTTGCTTTTATCTTCCTTTGTTCCTCTCAAACATGGTGTTACAGCTATTAATGTAATTCTGCCCTAGAATTCAAGAAGCTCCTTAATAAGGCACAAGCAGTTGGCACATGGCACCTGTAGCAGGTATTGTGCTTGTTGAAGCCACTTAAAACAAATTTGCAGCTGTCTAAGTATTAAGGAGGTTTTAGGAAGCAATGGTGCCTTGTAAGCAAGAGTCTGTATTGGCAAACAAGCAAAAATGTGATGACTTTTCTTTTCTCAGGGCTCCAGAGAGTGATCGTTTTGCCTGGGAACGGGAGGTGGAGAACAATGTCTACAGCAAAGTGACACGGAGTCCACTGGCACACCCCAACTATCAGCTGAATTTAGCCGTGCAGCAACTTCAGCAGCAAAAACTTCAGTCACGACAGCTATTGGAGCAAAGCCAAGCCCGACACCAGGTAACTAAGAAAGCTCCTGTCTTGGACTTAATAGTGCTGACCAAGTCTTTGCTAAGTAGGAACAACCTCAAACCAATACATGTGGCACAGCTTTTGTTGAGGAAATAGCTCTTCCAGAGTATTACAATAGACTAATATTATCTGCAGTGATTTTAATAAAATTTTGATGCTGCAGTTCCTGCTGGCCTTTTTCACCACATTGACATCCTGGCTGTTGGCATGTGCTTCCTTTCTTTTCTGCCGAAGTTCAGAGCATTACCTTGCATTGCCTCAGGCAGCCTTAAAGTTGTGTATAGTCCCCACAGCTCCTTGTGACTTAATCTTGTTACTGAACTGCTGAGTTCTGCCTTTGCTTGTGTTGCTCGTGGGTAGTAGTATTTCAAGCTTGGTCACTCCTATTTTGGTGTTTCCAAATCTGGGGTCTTGAAATTGTATTTGGCAACTGTATGTTCTGTGTCAAGCAGATTAGGACTTTAGCTCGACTAAATTCTTCTCCTCCTGGATTTCTTCTAATAAGATGTAACTACCAAAAAAAGCAGCATGCTAGCAAACTTAAAAATTATTTTGGAGGATCTGCATCTTTTTTCTAAAAAAAACCACATTAATTTCTTTTAAGATCTTACATTGTGCAGGGTGCATGGCCACTCCCCCTCATGCCAGGCGCAACCTTTTTCTGCAACCCTGAAAATCTTCTCAAAGTCTCCTATCCATTTTGATATTGTGGTATTTAATATTTTCCTTTCACTGCTGTGCTCTGAGACACCTGACAGACATGTGACTCCTTTGTTATAATTGCTAGGAAAAAAAAAAAAATGGGATGAGAGCCCAAGTGCTAGAGGAAATATGAAAATGGGTTTATATTATTGACGGGTGATCCCTAGATGCCAAGGGTGGACCACTGTGACTGGAACAGCTTTTCTGTCCTGTCTGGGTAATCTTCCAAGATTACAGTTAGCTTACTGCTGCACTCATTACCCTTTTTTGTTATTTTGGAGAGGGAGGTGTGTTTTTTTTCCTCCAGATGATGTCTGAAAATATTCCTTGTTAAAAAAAGTGTTTGGGTGAACAAATCTCCACTCAAAAGAGACTGCTCAATTAGAAGGGAGATATTTGCTGGACAGTCTGGTAGGACTGGACTCCAACAAAACCACGAACGGAGCTAACGTGGAGGTCTGAACACCCACTCTCCCTCCTATGAAGCATATGAGTCACTGGTCAGAGTCTTTGAGAATATCTTCTAGGCAAATTGCCCCCATCCTTCTCTCAGAGCATCTTGAAGGAGGGGTCCTTTACCCTTTGCTCCTTACACTCCTTCTCTCAAAGCTGTTACGTAGCCACATGGTTTCTGTCCCCAAATTCCCCCACCTACAGATTTCTTGCTGCCCCTCTGAGCAGGAGCAGGAGGTCTTCCTTTCATCCACATCCAAGGAGCTCTTGGTGGGTAGCAGTGGCTGCTCGTGAGCTTGGGAAAGGACTATAAACAGGCTTGCGCTTGTGAGGAGGCCAGAGCTGGCCATGGGGCCTGGCTGAGCCCTCTTCTAATTACTGACATTGAGCTGGTGTTATTCTTGGCCTCGGGCAGTGCCATTACTCAGGAGTTTCTGCTAAAGTGATTCTTTGTTAAACCTCCACTCACCCCCACAAGATCCCCCTTGCTGCTCTGCCTCCCTTCTCTCTCTGAGCCAAGCAGTTCAGAGTTGCAGTATTGAGGCCATTGCTATGCCGCAGGCTCAGGCTGCTCTGAAGTTGCCATTAATGAAGAAAGGGATTTGCTGAACATGGGGGCTGTCAGACTTTCTGTAGTGAAAACTATATCTTGATAGCATGGTTGTTTTTTGGACACATCCCCTCACAATAAACTTTGTATGGAGTCAGCCAGACCTCCCCTTCCAGTCACAGTTGTGTGGAACCTCTGATGCCCCTCCCAGTCATTGCTCTACTCTCATCTTTGTTCTACCTGACTTCCCTCTCCAGTTTGCTATTGTTAATCCCTTCCTTCTTAGACTTCAGTTTGTTGACCTGACCATCCAGGAACTGCCCTTTCTTTTCTGTTACTTGCACAATCCCTAGCTTATGTCTCCTTCCTTGGTGTCCAATCCACTTTTTTCTGCTGCCCATCGGAAGCATGATTTCAACACATTTTCTGGTTAGTGTCACCTAAGCCACCTAACTCTCACTACCAACTCTCTCAGCAGTGTACCTTCTCATGTAATGAAGTCTACCCTGTGCTTTGTTGTTTTGTTTGCTACATTCAAGTTTGTCAGCTCCCTCCTCCCTCTGTTCACGTAGCCTTATCTTCACTTTCATGATAAAGCATCCTTGTATCAGTGCTGTTGTCCAGTCTTGTAGTAAAGTCATATCAACAAAGTATGGAAGGCATTTCTTGTTACCTTAATCAGAGTGACAACTACAGATGCAGGAAAGGCTATTAGGTAAGCCTCTTATTCTGACCTCTGCATAGCTTAAGACCCTCAAATTCAGTGCTGCTCTTTGCATCTCCTTGTTTGTTTTCTACTTTTCTCATGCCTTCCCTGTAATGCCTTTTTCTGATACAGTATCATGTTCTCTGTCACTCCCTCTCCCCATGCAGTTTGGCATGGATGCTGGAATGGAGAAAGCTTAATAGTATTCGACAAGATACCATAACTGGGAGTGGTCAGAGTTTAGAATCAATTGGATCTTTTATAGGAAGTCCCCAACAGGGTTAGAAGGATTATATTTTTCAGTCACAGCACTAACTAGTTGTTCTGAACACAATCAACAGTTGGTACTCTGATCTGAGAAAATATGTTGGAGAAGATCCCCCAAAACTCTATGTGTATTTAGAAATTCCACTGCTTCTCCTAACATTCTAAGTGCTACAAGTGATAAAAACGGGGAGGAAGTTCTAGCAGAACTATTTGGAGACTCGGTGCCACCATCAGAGGTTGGCTGTGAGGGGAGGGAATGATAAAGAGGAGAACAAGTACTTAACCTCACTGCATTTCAAGAATGGAAAAGCATAGGATACGGGTCTGTGGGCTCCACAATTTTGGATTCACCCTTTTTAGTGGGACCTGAATCTTCCTGAATTATCTTAATTAGAATTAAAGGGCTGCTCTGGAGCTTGGGTAACCATTGTTTTAGCCTTGTCTGCTGTTATGCATTTATTGGATGGTCTCTAGAAAATGATCTCCACCATTTGTGGTCAGTTCCTCTGATTGACACTGAACACCTCTATATAACGCTTTGAAGTTGTGAAAGTTTATTAACAAAATAAACGTGTCCCCGGTAGGGGAAGGTCTTTTACTTGAAAGACTGTCATAGGAAATGCGTGCAGGACTTGTTCAAGCCAAACATTTCACGTCATTGTTCAAGTTCCTGTTGGAAGGCAGACCAGCCACTTCAGTAGCTGAAGTGTATTTATCAAGGCGCCTTGGGTATGGCATGACCGTACAACATGATTAGTTGCCCATTTTTCCTTCCGCCTGTGACAAATAAGCTAGTTTAGTTGTATATAAATGGATAGCATATGAACAAATGACAGAAGCACCATGATTAATAATGCAGGCAAATGCTTCTGCTTGTGCGTTAATGAGTTCGATATGTTGGAGATGAGCTAGTTGTGTTGGAAAGCACAGAAGTTCCTAGCCAATTGTTTGTGTAATAGGAATGCTCCCCACTGCCATGCTGTGGATGTATCTGATCATGAGAGCTTATTGCGTATTTCTTTGTGGTAGCACCCACTCTTGGTTGAGTGCTTTCCAGACACTTCAGGATGATGATTTCTCCTCCAAGCATTTTGCAGCTTGCAGGGCAGCAAATACTGTGTAGAAGGGGGAAAAAAAAATAACAATTTCCGCTCATTGTATGTGGAGGTTAGTTCTCACTCTGCAGTGTGATGGAAATAGGTCTTCAGTGGCAGAACAGGTATTTTATTCTTCGGATAAAAAGAAAAGCACCAAGCTGACTGAATGCCAATCTGACAAATAAACGCATAAAGCTCTGCAGTGGTAGGGACCAGGAATAGAGACAATACAAAGCCTGAGGAAAAAAAAAAATAGAAGGGACAGAGCTGGAAAGTGGAGACAAGAAGCTTAAATCTGATACCAATAAAAACAAGGAATAAGAATTACAAAATTAAACCAGAAGACAAGAAAACCAGGCTTACAGCAGTATTTTTAATGTTTAAAGGAGACCTCATGTGACACATTATGACCTAAATGTTAGTATCTCTATTGCAGTTGGCAAGGCAGTGAATATACCATCCTTGTTTATTCTCTAATTGTTTCCTGTACTGGAAAAATGCCAGTAGCTTTAGGGAGGTTCCTCCTTCTCTGTGTGGCTATGTTCAGTCTGCTTAGCCTAGCATCTACTGAGTTCAGATCTTTATGCCAAACATGTCACATGGGAATAAAAAGCTAAATTAAAATAAGGAAAGTTCAGTTGTATTTAGGAATCATCCTGCTTATATAAAAAACAAAAAGTCATCTTAACAAGACATAAATCACGTTAATGAGTTATGTGGTCAGTTATGATCACGTTTTCAATCAAAAACGTAAGTAGATTTTATGCAATAAAATTTTGGACTAATTTCATCCTTTAAATAATTCTCATCTTTCAGTCATTTGAAGATGGTAGTTCTCAGAAGTGTTACTGCGTCAAGTTCGGCAAACATCATCCCTTTTCACGTATCTTACTCTTTTCTGAATTCCCTGCAGTTTACTTGATCTTAATGAGAACTTTGAGTGTTCAAGATAACATTCCTAATATTCCTACAACTATGTTATTCCTGCCTGAGGACATAAGGCCTCTCTGAATGCAGCTTAAACATCATTGTTTTCTGAACTGTTATATATTGGACTGCTACAGTCTCTTGCTATTCTTGCTTTGCAGCTTTTTCCCTCTGACTGTTTTCCCTGCAGATGTGCTAAATGCCATCTTTCCTATTTGAATCTTGTGATGCTGATGAGTCAAAATCTCAGTCTAGGTGAAGCAGAACAACTGTTCTGAAAGCAGTGGTCTGTGATTTACACCACCTGAAACTTTGTGCCATGTTTCCAATCTCATCGCTATTCTCTCAGTATCTTTCTAAATAATGATGTGGCTTCCAGTTCGATATCAAAGACAGAAAAAGGAAGAAAGCACCAAATCATTTCATTTCAGTATATGGACATCCAGGGAATACCTTGAATTTTCTCTTCTTCCTTTTAATATATTTATGACCCCAAGATTCTTCTCTTTCTGCAGTTTAACACTGTGACAGTTAAACAGTAAGGTCAAAATATGCTATTATTGCCATTTTGTGAATTGTTAACTCAACTGATTGTTGCATCCAAACTGATTTAGCTGAACATATTGTGTGTTCAGAAGAACCTGTGCTAAACAATTTGTATAAATCCAAAAGTCATCCAAGCCTTTTGATTCTTTGTATTTTTGCAATGTCAGAAATGCAGTTGTTTTTCTAAAAGGTTGGGGTTTGGGGTTTTTTGTTTGTTTGTTGTTGTTGTTGTTTTAACTAAATCTTTGTTATGATTTATTCCTTATGAACATCTCAGTTTCCAGCATTAACAATTAGGAACTCTCTGCATAACTACACACATCTTTGTGCAGTACATGTGTGAGTATGTTTGTCAGTTCTTATATACTGCTGGGTCTCTCATTGCTGTCAGGCTCGCTGATTCAATTTAAACCAAATGACCACGGTATAGAAATCTCAAAGCTATATTTTATACAAATGAAAGTATGAAAATGAAACTAAAGTGCTATGAATCTGAGATGGGTACTCAGCTACTGTTCTCATCAAGGCAAAGCTGCAGCATTGGGCCACTCCTAATTATACAGCAGAAAATCCACACAAGAATACTTCAAACCTATGAATGGAAACATAATTTGGCACATGCTTTATATTAGAAACTGTAAGATTCAAAACCAAGGCAGATTCACAGGAAATGAGTTTCATTAGCTCCTCTGGTCACAGAATGAGCATGTTTTTGCTTGCAACATTTGTTCCGTTACTGTGTTAGGAATGGGTGTTAGGTACAGGGATGGTTAAGTGCCAGGAACATTCTTTCTGTTTTTGAAGTTCATTAATCTGCTTTTCTTCAAAGTATTGCGTACCTCCCTGCTTTCAGTCATGAGCAGCCCTAGTTCAGTTGCTACTGGCTAATACTATATACAAGCTGTATATGTTGAGATATTCTGATTAAAAATGTTATCCTATACAAAAAGAGACACTTTGTCTACGGCGTACGTGTGTAGGTGTGGATGCAAGGGAAGGTGTGATCGAACGAGGCAAATAGGGGATTGAGAGTCAGGATCTTCTCTGAGATCACAGCCTCACTTTTCATGTTACTTCTGACTGTGGCTTGGGGAAAATCACTTTCTCTGTGTGCTGGATAGGGTAAATGCTGTCCTTTTCTGCATCATTTTGGAGGGTGCTACCTGCTTCAGGACTGCTTCTGGCAGGGTTTCTTAAGGCTTCTGCTCTAACTAGGTTCAGATCATTCAGAATCCTGAGTGCTGAGGCATATCTCCCACTTTCTGGGTATCTCTGGAGCATCTTCCCAACCTTTGCAGTCAGGCTCTATTCTGTTCAGCTGCCCATTTTTATTTGCACAGTAGCTTCTCCTGGTTTCCTGTTCTGACCCCACTGAGTTCACAGCAGGGCAGTATGCTTTGTAGCTGAATCCAGAAGCCATGGTCTGTGTCAGCTTCTATCTCTGCCTGGAAGGCAGCCAGAATCTCAGCACAGCATGGAGACAAAGGCTATTTTGGAATTCCATTATCCTCAAGAAAACATCCATGATCTTTCCATAGACAGATCTCAGCCTATCTTTTGCTGATCAGATTTCATTACAGCATCCATTCTTGCCGTTTTGTTGAGAGTCACAATCCTCCCTACACATTCCTGTTAATACAGGGAAGGGATTCAGACTGTGTGCTTTGCAGGCACCAGGTTCATAATGATTTTAAAAACAAGAAGGAAAAAAAAAACAACCAATACCCACAGGAAGCATGTGTAGGGGAAGCAGGGAACAGTGAAGTGGCATTCCTGAGTAAGAAGGGGGTGCAGTGATTTGAGGGTCTCTATTCCACCCCTGTAATGCAGGAGTCTCTAAGATGCAACACAGTGAACCACGTTTCGTTTTGGTTTGTTTTATTGAGAGGAGGTGGGGTGTGACTGCTATTTTCCAGACTTCTGCACTTACACCAGCTACTTATTTCTAAAGCTGAAAGCTGTGATCAAGGTAGAGCTTCAGGGGAGGGATAGGTTAAGAATTGGGAGCTCAAGAGGATCTTGTCAGTGAACTTTCGTTAGGAAACAGGCCTGTTTTGGCTCCTGCACTTCCTTTTCTCCCTAGAGCTCAGCCTGTCAGAAACGCCTTCCCACACACCACTGCCTTGCCATTTACCAGAGAACTGCGGGGGAGAGGGGCTTTTCCTGTCTGTGTGCTGAGATTCAGCCAGCCCTCAGACTGTGGTTTTCTCTGGAGCCCACTCTCTGTGGCTTTGTGTGTTTTTCACCAGAGAAGGAGCTATGGACAAATGCAGTGAAGTGGACTGCTGCCAAGGTCATGCTGAGGTGACAGGCAATTGCTCAGCCATCCCCTTCATCTCCTATCACTGACCTCTAGCTGCCGAACTGTGTGGCTATGCTTAGCTTCCCAGGGCAGAGGCAATAGAAACTTCAAGGAAAGTAAAGGCAGAAATCCCAGCAAGTTACTCCTTTCTAAAAAGAGCTGAGTAGTTTGCAGAGCTCTCATAGGGAGCCATTTCCCTTTCCCTGCCATGCCAGTGTATTGCTCACAACATGCAGATTCTTTTGTTCTCTGTGTCAAATCTTCAACGTGCTTGCTCTCGCACTTGCTTTAGGAATAGAAATATTCTCAGTTCCCTGGTATTCCTGGGGATTTCCGTTTTGTTGCTGACCTCAACTCTCCTTTTTCAGAGACTATACCTTAAAGCTTTCCAATTACTTGAAGCACCTACAGGGTTGGATGGAAGATCTGGTATTTTAACATATTCCACCTAGCTTTTTTTTCTCCTAGAACTTTGTATTAATCCCAGCTTGCAGACAAAGAACAGCTAACCAGGGTAAAGGCAGAAAGTCAGTTAAAGCAACAAAAACTTTGTTTATAGAAGTCTATTGCACGATTAGACTGGGGAAGACCTTTCGGTTTCTTTTTTCCTCCAGAACAGCATTGTTGTGTGGTAGTAATAAGCTTCTCTGCCTTCCTAGATGCTGCAGTTCAGCTCTTAAAACTACTTCATTGACAACTGTTCTTTTTGTGCTTGGAACTGCTCTGGAAACTGTGAGGTTGCCTTCACTGAGAAGAGATTCTCCCTTACAAAAACGTCACTCTCATCTGTCAGCTATCAGCTATACTCAGGGAGAGATTCACCAATTACTATGATTTTGTTTTGTTTTGCTTTTACCAGGCTCTCTTTGCCAGCTACTCGCAATCCAGCACCAGCCATGTGCCTATGTCGCCTGGCTCTGGTGCACACAAGACATCAAGTGCCACTTCAGGTATCCAGAAGGCAGCCAGTTTGCACAAAGTGGTGCCATCCCAGTGTACGCCTTCTCAGCTGGTTCCAAAGCCTCCAGCAAACCACAGACAGGCAGTGGTCAGAAAAACTGCAGCCCAGAGGATTTCCAAGTAAGTTTTATCTCTTTCCATCTACAACAGGAAGTTGGCACTGGTTCCACTAAAAAGAAGTATAGGAGCAGAACCTGTGTATGTGTGACTCAGACATAGGTCTTTCAGGCTGTTCAAGACAAATCTCAGAATAACTTGATCTGTGTGAACTGAAGTACTGAACTAAATGTGCACTATTGTGCATTCTCATGTTTCACAGTGGCAAGGTAAGCCGGACTGTAACAACATACAAACAACTACATAGGAACTGCCAGAATGAATCAGTGAAGAGTCCTGTCCAGGTTGGGAGTCAGTTACCTAAATGCAAGTTGCTAGTGCCATTTTAATTGCATCAGGCTAGTCTACATAACCTCCAACTGCTGCCCCAGATAAGCACAAGTTTTCTGTAGATTTTGTGTTTTATGTGTCAGTCCCATGCAGGTGTTGCAAATAACTTGTCAGCTGTGTTTAGGCACCTTATTTAATCTTTGATGAGGGTTTGAGTCTGGTGGGTCAGAAGAGGCTGCCAAAAAAAGAAAAAAGTAAGTAAAGCACCAGTATCCTTAAGAAGCTAATCTAGTCTTGAGCCAAGTTTTCCCATAAGCTTAATGTATGATGATTGACTTATGCCTTTAGGCAGAACTGTTTATTTCATTTAACATGTTTATGTCTAATGTAGTGATTGTTTTCCTTGTTATCTGTAGAAATGCTCATCCTTCCTTAACTTTTACTAAGCTTCAAGTTACAGTGCTTGCCATTCAAAAATACAGTAATTTGCTGTATGTTATCTTTAAAAACAAAATAACACACTTACCATGAAATGTTGTTTACTGATTTTAAGTTTCCTTCCTTTCCATTTCTTGTTGTATTCCGTGTATCAGGAAAGAATGTGAGCAAGGCTTCTGTTTTCCATTTTTCTTATCCTTTCCATTTCTTGTTAGCTCCCTTAGCTCTCTCTGTTTATTTTCTCTTAGTCTAATGCAGTTCTGTCAATTACATCCTTTGGCAAGTTTTTCCTCAGACATGTTTCATTCCTGAAGGGCAGAAATTGCATTCATAACTTCCTCTCTTATACTCTATACCCAGAAGAGTTGTAAAGCTTTCAGAGCAGGTTCCTGTGAGGTTTCCTGGTTCTTTGTTTGCTTCCTGGTTTAAAGAGAGGAGGCTTAATAAAAGCGTACTGATAGAAGACACTTCATGAAGATGCTGGGGCACTGTCAGTGTGTGGGAAACTTGTGTATTTCCTGCTTGTACTCTTACTATCTTAAGAGCTAGCATATTAAGTGAATCTCCAAAACTATCTAAAAAGAAAACAAGATGTCAGTAGACTTTGTCAACTCAGCAAATGCAGATGCAAGCATCAGGTCTGGCAGGTATATGCTGGTGAATTTGATATCTGAATTCTTTAATGTTGGATAGCTCATGTTAGTACAGGTGACAGGCTGTGTCAGTGGGGCTCTCTGTCGGGCAGCAGAGATGTGTATTTGAAGATGCCGGTGTGCTGTGCTCACTTCTTGGCAGAAGAAATGTTTATTCTTATGAGATGGAATTGCAGCTCCTTGGACAGACTTTACTTTGCTGCATTTTTGTGGTTTCTGCTCTGTGACAGGCAGGAGTGTGGGAAAACCGGAAAAAGTTCAGCACCAAAAATGCACAGAAGGGGGAAAAAAAGCAAAAGATTCCTTCAGAATTTTAGCAAACTAATCCAAGTATTGAAGGCTGCAAGGAGCCACTCCGGAAATACTTTCCAAGTTGCCTTTTAGACTCCAGTATGAAGCTCAGAACCCATTCTTGTCATTCATAGGACCTTGAAGTAACATTTTTTCACTTACATGGAAAACACCAGTGCCTAGCTATATTTCCAGCGTGCTGAGAACTAATAATTTAAAAGCTGCTGTGTCTCAGTCTAGCCCAACGTGTTGTCAAGAGTAGACCAGAGATGCATGGAAGAGTGGATAGAGGCAAGCCTCTGCCTCAAATGAATCTAGATTAGAGATAAAAAATATGTCTTACATTCTCTAGCCTGTTCTCTACAGTCCCTGGTTATTTTGTGCAGAGTATTCTCAGACATTGGGCAGACTGCTTTCAAGTAAATTTAATGGAAGAAACCCCACAGTATGTTACAGAAGGCTTTGTATTAATCTAAATAACTGTATTTTTAGAAAGTTTCTCCTGATGCACAATCTGAATTCTTACTTTATTTCATCTTCTTGTACCTCATTCCTCTATACTGAACCACCCTCAACACTTTCTCTTGCAAATACTTTCCATCTTTTGAAAATCCTTCTATTTCTTAGAGTTTCCTAATGTTGTTCAGACTTACTGAGGTTTTGTTAACCTCAGATAATAGTTCCACCTGCCAAATCCTTAATTGTCTTGAATTTACTATATTTTCTTCACTTTGTCAGAGTTCTTGCATTGTAGCACCCAGGATTGTACTTTTCCAGTGTGAGACTACTCTGTCTTAAGGTTACGAGATGGCAGATATCCCTCTTTGTAACATCTAATCTAATTTTGGCTTCTTGGCTGCTTCGTTTCTCTGTCAGGTCATCTTTGATTTACTGCTCACTTTCACCCCTAATTCTTGTTGGCTGCTTTCCTGACCTCTCCTTACAGATCTCTCCTCGCTGCTATGTATTATTTCCACAAGATTCACTGAAACTAATCCCATACTATTGTTTAAGCTCTTGTATCTCATTTCTTTTTTTCATAGTTTTCAGTAGGTCAGACCTTTATTTCTCTGCCTGTTCTTGCACCACCTGGCTTTTGTTTAACATCTTAATAACGACCTTTTTCAAGTTTTTTGTAGAATTCCTCCAGAGACTGAACAGTGAAGACAAACTAGAATCAACTTTGTCTCTTTGACCTCTCTATCCTTTTGCACGCATTATCATTTCTATCCTAGCCAGCACACATGGCTTCCAGAAGAGGAGGGAAAGAATAAGTGGTTAGAAACACTTCTACAGATAGAGTGAGATGCTAAAGGTGAACATTACTGGTTAATTCAGATACAGTCTAGTAAGTTGGATGCTTCTCTGCTTAAAACATAAAGGAAAAGAGTAATGAAACAGCCAGACAATTCAGTCTTGTGTTTTCAAGTTATGGTCTCTCTTGTTTTTTCAGTCTCTCAACTTGTAAAAGATGGCGGGTTGACTTTAAGACACACTTCTTCTGTGTCCAAAGCAGACTCCTTGTTTAAGCTAATGGACTGGAAGACTGGGGCCCACATTAAAGATGTGGAAAAAGACTGTGGTGACTGGGAGAAATGGTTTAACGTGTAGCTCCACTTAGAAACACAGGCTCATGAAATGATCTCCTGTGGCTCCATAGTTTTGATTAATTGTACTCAGATTACAAGTGGAAAGATAGCTTTTGAATAGCTGATACAACAAACCCTTCTTTCTTTCCAGAAGTCAGATTGGGTCCTTTTCACTGCTTGTATTGCCACTGTTGGCTGCCTGTGAACCATGAAGAAACCTGCTGCTAACTGAGTGTAAAAAATTTGAAACAGAAGGCACATAAATAGTATTTGTAAGCCATGGGATGAAGCAGATGTCCCTGGAAGCAGCATTTGCTGAATAGAACTTTCACATTACAGATGACGGCAACCAAAGCAAGAAAATATATTAGCACAACTGTGAGGACCCAGAGTGAATTGGTACAGATGGTAGACAAAAAATCTTTCTGCTTTTAGGAACAACTAAATTACAATAAATACAGATTTCTAAACTATCATTCCTATGGTAATTTTTCAGAGAGCTGCTCTCAGTGACAGCATCAAGTTTGACAGTTGGACTTGATGATCTTAGAAGTCTTCTCCAGCTTTAATGATTCTTTGATGTTAAAGAAGGGCAAGGCTTGGACAGCCTGTGAACAGAACTATTAGTTAAATGAAAGATTTTCAGAAAAATACAGCTGCCAGTGTTAGACTGCTGTACATAAAGAGAGGAAATACCAGATAGATGAAAGGAGCATACAGTTCAAGATTTTATCAGGGAGAGAGCAAGCCCAAAATCTCTGATTTTACCAGTGATAGACTGAAACAGAACAACTGTTGGGGTTGGTCAGCATGGCCTAATTTCTTGTACTGAACTTCTCTGTAAATATCATTCTCAACAACTCTACTCAGGAAGAACAAATATTTCCTACACCATAGCACATGATCTTGCCTTGTTCTTCTCTTGGCTATTTATTTGCTGTGAACAATACCAGCAGTAGAAGATGCAAAGTTCTGCATGGTTGTAACTAACACAGAAATAGGGTAGAGGTGATGAATTTCTCCAGGGTTCAGGAAATCCACTCCACAACTGGGTGGAGTCCTGATTAAAGTTGAACACAGCAGCAGCCAGCTGTTCTAGGACAGGCTGGCCAAGCTGGGCAAATGTGCAAAAGAATGGCCATAGAGCAAGCACTGTAAAATGCTGTATTTCTGGTCTGTATCCTGTCCCATATGTGCTTATTCACAGACACGGATGAAGTGTCTCAAGTGAGCTGATGCTGTCACACATGCAAGCTGAGTGCTCACCAAAAAAGAGGAGAGGCAGCAGGAGACCAAACATGCATCTGTTGCTGAGACCACTTTTTTTTTTTTGCTATCGCTGTACTGAGGCATGCTTGTTGTTTTAGCTCCTGAGCATGTGGGTTAATCAGTCTGCCTGACCCTTAGACATTTCTGGCAGCAAAAGCAGTGCATCTGAGAGACATGCCTTGATTTAACACCCTGACACAGCTGGGCTCACTGGGCCTTGCAGCTCTTAGCCCTTGGCTAGCCTCAGATCATACACACACATACACATGTGGAGATACCTTGGCCAAGAGCAACAGAGGAACAAGCTCCCTGGCTCTGGCTCTTCACATCTGTTGCTGTCCTCTTGTCAAACTCTAGGCTTTATGTGATGCAAATTTGTTTGTGTCCCCACTGGACCATTAGACACATTCATGATATCCCAGGAATAGGTTGTTACAACAAAGGTGTTCAAAATTCAGTCAAGAAAATATTTCTTTGCATCTGTGGAACAAGAGCATCCTCCAAATTTGCAATCCAGAACTGAGTAGCTTAGAGGTGGCTTAGTGCCTGAATGAAGAAAGTCAGTATCAATTTCAAGGAGGGCTTAGTTGTATGAGCAAGAAAAAAGGCCAATGTTAGATATTTAAGTGAAGGGGACAGCGGGGAAAAGGATGGGTTTGTTAGTTTTAAAGAGGAATAAATGGAGGACTTAACAAAAGATTGCACTGGAGAAATGGAAGCAAAAATGACATAGATGCTAGAAGCAGGAAAATGAGAAAAGTTATGGGATTTCAACCAACTCAAGGGGGAAGAAAATGGAAAAGGATTTACTTAGTTTAAATCATGAATATGTTCCAGGACTAGAATTTCTATCAGGACAGTAGAGAGACCTTGAGAGGTGAGCTTAGCAGGGTGACAGATCTACCACAGATCTGTCTGAGAATGGGCTGTATGGAGATGGCAGCTGAAACTGCAAAAACCAAGATGTAGAAAGAAAAGGGGACAGGCAAGTCTGTAGTGGGAAGCAGTAAAAGTAAAGCAGACTTAAAGGTAGAAGTATAACTTTCTTGTCATTTTTTGTTGTTGTACTTGCTGATATCCTTGATGACATTTTCAACTGCTAGTCTTCTATTCTACCTAAAGACAGATTAGCAAGATCTGTCTGTCAATTGTGCTGCATTAATGAAGTGGACAAGCTAAGTGTGAGCATGCAATGTTTATATAAAAAGCACAAAGATCTATCTGGATTCTCTGCCCCTGGATGGACTGTGCACTGTCAGCAGAAAAAAAAAACAAACACAACAGAAGTACAGATCCAAAATTCTCTCAGACAATAAACATAGAAACAGGCACCTCATTTGACAGCAGCATTTCAAATTACAGCTGATTGAAGTAATGGGCTGTGCTTTCCACATTGTATCTGCTGCCTCTTCCTTTCCTGTATAGATTTCAATTTACTTTACTAAAATGCAGCTGACATAAAGTATAGGAGGCCTTCTCTGGCCATGCAGTTGCAAGAAGCACCCAGATTACTGGCAACTTGCTGCCTTTGAAATTTGAAGGCAAAACATTTCAGAAAAAAACTGCAGTAAATGCACACATGTGCCTGAGTCTGTTAGTAATCAGGGCATCACGTGAGGATTGGAGTTTACAGTGTTCTTCAGGGGAAGAGCTCACAGTAACCCCGTTTCATGGCAGATATGAATGAGTGAAGGAGAAGCACTGTGGCAGAGAAACAGGAGTGTGCATACAGAAATGTGTAGCGATCAGAACAGAGTTGGACAGGGAGGAAGAAAAGGCAGAGGTGTAAGAGAAGAGAGGACAAACCAAGAATAGATAGATTAATTTTTAAAAACAGAGTAGATCATTGCAGCTGTACAATTTATACTACTTTTATGAGTGGATTTCTTTTTTATGTAGGAGAGCTTGATGTCATTTTGGTAATGAGTATTTATAATAATTAAAGGAAGTGCAGTTGTTCTCCATAGAGTATTGTTTTACTGTAACTCAGGTGCTGAGCTAAATGCAGGAGGATTTGCATGAATATCTGCTTGAGGACTGGGTGTTTACTGTTGGAGACTAAATGCATCCTGCAGGTCTCAGTTTCTGACATATGTGAGAAATCTTGCCGAAATGAGTTGTCTCTACTAAGACAGGATGCAAGGACTTAGATTTTGAATGAAGCTTGTTTTTGCCAAGCCCGCTACTCTCGTGCATTTTTGTTTTAATGTTGCCTAATCATTTTGCTTCAAATCACTGGAGTAAGGATACCACAGAGTTACTGGTTGAGTTGTGCTTTTCGTACCGCTTACCATCCATCTTCTTTATCCTTCAAAATCAGCATCCAAGAGGTGTGGGACAATTAGATGTTTTAGGTGCATTGAAGTCTTGTTGGTGGCTTGAGCATTCGTCTGTCATCCCCTGCCTTTTTGGAGCTGTTGCTGTCACTACCTGTTTCACACCATGTTCAGTCACAGCTTCATAGCCACAGTCTCATTAAAACTTTTTGTTGTTGTTCAGAACCTTTATTCTTTCTTGGTATATGCCTTCTCATCTCTTTCTAATTGATGTTTTTACTTGTTAGGGTGACCTCCGTTGAAAGGCAACTTAACGGATTCCAGAACAGCCTTCGCAGTGCTGCATCCTGTGAACCGGGGTCAAATTCCACAGGTGAGTGCTGAAGACCAGGAAAGGGGTGTAGCCATGCTGGGATGCTTTCATCTTTCTCAAGAACTGCCAGTTAAAAAAAAGCAAAACTAAAAAACCTTAGCAAAAGGAAGAAACACAGCTGTCTACTCTGCACATAGTGGTTCCTAGGTAACAGCTTGGCTTTGGCTGCATAGAGAATTTATTCCTCCCAGGACTGAAAAGACTAAACAAAAGGGAGCAAAGACTCGGTTTCATAGAATTGGAAGAGGAAGATGCTTAAAAATGTGGCTGGGAAAAAAACTTGGCTAAAATGGCCTCCCTGCTTTAGGCTTTGGCTCAAAGATGCTCTGTTGTTCAAGCTTGGACTGTAATAAAAGGCCAGGACATTCTTTACATTTTTCTTCAGTCTTGCAGAAGAGTGCCTTAGTTCAGAAGGATGTCACTGAGATTTGTGAATCAGCTGCATAGTGAAGTCAGTCAGTAGAGGTGAAACCTCCCAAAGAAAGATCACTGAGACCTATAAAATCAAATCTTCATCCTTCCCTAGAGATTAATTCATTTAAAGAAGTTTCTTTGCTAATACGAATTGAAGATCTCAGAAAATGGGGACCCAATGAATTTTTTATTGATGCAGTCATATTTGCAGTAGAGCGTAGTCTTGATGAACCCATATTACCCGTGGCCTGCAGTAATTTGTGACGATGCTGTAATGGCAAATACAGATAAATTATGATCTAGAGTGCTTTGAAAGAATTATGTTTCTGACCTCAGCTTTTACTTTGAAAACCTTGAAAATGTGACTTGAGTATCACTGAAGCAGTCTTGTCTATGTTTTCATGGGCTGAAATAGAAGTTAGCAGAGAGGTGAACCGCCTAATCCATCTCTTGGATATCTGGCTCTGAAACTTAAAGGTGACATGTCCAACATTAATGTCATCAATTTTTATGGCTGATCCTCCAGCACAAACATTCAACTCATGCACTTACTGTACGATTCCAAACTGCCTCCTACACTTTACCACCTGCCTGAAACTTCAGCTACCCTACCAGAGATTTTATAGTGTGAACAGCTGTTGTCAATAACAAAGACCCTACACCACACTGGAACGTAACAGCTTAGAAATGGAATATAATGAGATTATCAAAATAAATAAAATTTTGTCAACACTGTAGCATATATATAATTGAGACAAAAGTTCTCATCTACTGTATAGTTTGAGTTTTTTGCATACTATACATAAATTTACAAGCAAATATAAAATGTAGTTTTCAAGGTATGACTGAGTGGACTTATATGAAGGTGTTTGTATGCTAAATTCTAACCTTTCTAACAGCTTTAAGAGCACCCTCGTGGTTGCCACGCTGTAATTTTGGTGGTAGGCCGTCAGAACTAGGATCTGATGAGCAAGTCACTCAAAGCTTCCTTGTCTCTAGAAGAGGTGTGTAGCTCACAGAATAGTGCTAAATTTTGCAGTGATTGAACAAAGTGGAGCAACATGTTTGTTCTTGGAAACAAGAGGAATGATATTTTCTTCAGCTTTCCACCAAGCCACTGGTATGCGTCAGAGGCTGCTGTGCCCAGTCTGTGTGTCTCAGAGACTACTCTGGTTCTTCCTGTAGGAACAGCTGTTTTTCTTCTTGACTCTTCATTGATTGCTTACATTAAGGCCCTGATTTCCCTCATCAACAGCTTATTTTAGGATTCCTGTTTCACATGTATTTAATATCCTGGATACCAACTAGAAGAGTTGAAGACACAACTCATAAAGCGGATTACAAAATAAGCTGCAAGATTTTAAAGATAGGAGGCTGTGAACAGTTCTGGAGATAAGAGGAATTGAGCAGAACCTCTGTGTATACACATGCAAATATGTTTAAAAATGCTTGAGAAGCTTGAATGGACCTTAACTGGATAACAGTCTGTGTGACAGTTAATTGCAGAGTTTGCACAACCCTTTCATACCATTGTATGAGACTGCTTCTGTGAAGAAAACATCCTGGAAGAATGAGGAATTCAGTTGAGTACCAGGATCTACCATTGCCTGCTGGTTATTGGGACCTTCATTTGACTTTGGCTGTTGTCCCTCTGGCTCTTAGCCCATTCTCTTTGTCTACTCAGATAGCCTATCCAAGGAGTAGTAGTTACTGGGGCTTTGCAGAGAAGCATAAAGGTGTCACAAATGATCTAACCAAAAGTGAAGAGGATGTTCAAAATAACAGTGAGTCAACATGGAATGTTTTAACTGGACTGTACAGAGAACAGTTCACTGCTGGTTAGTATTGCAACTGTAGGAGGTGGTGTGCAGTGGGCTCAAGCTCTTGAGTTCAGATTTCTTGAGATGATACAAGAGTAAAAGCAGTTCTGCAAAGCAGCTTAGGACTCTGAAACAAGCCACCATTATATCCTCATGGCCTCACTGTAATGTTACAAAGAGACTGAAGTTCCCTTTGAACTGTATTCCATTGGAGTAATGAGGGAGAAGGCAGAGGTTCTTATGAGTATAGAGACGTGAAAATCTAAACACTGAAATCTGCAATGTATCATTTGGCGTTATTTGTAGTGTCTGGACAGTTAGTTTCTTACCTGAGTTACTGAAAGTTTTGAGAGAGTTTATTTTATTAAAGGAATAGAAGAAATGTTAAGAAATACTACATTTGACTAATATTCAAAATTCTTCTAGCTTGATTTTTGGCTGAAAAATCACTTAATCTGAATTTAGTAAGGAAACTTCTTGAGCTAGGTGGTATGCAGTTGATTTTACTCAATGTGATTTCTAGGTCTGTATTTGAGCTTAGTTACAGGATGTTTCACACTTGTCTGTTAACTTTGTAACCTGGCTCCCATATCCACATAAGTGCCAGCTTCTGAAGGTATGCAGCTGTTTGAAATAGAGTATGTCATCATCTGTAAGAAGTTAGAATTGGATCCTGATGAAGCATATGGGGATTGGCAAGCTGTTTTGGACCTTGTCTAGGTGGAAGGCACACTGTTCTTAAGTTTTCTAGTGATCTCCTTCTCCATGGTAAGAAGGAGACCAGTATTTGAGCACCGTCCAACTAAGATGAGTGTGCAAGCAGTGTGGTTAGCTGTAGAGTAATGAATGCAATAGCTTACAACAGTGATAGTAAGGAATACTTTTTCACGTACTCTTCTTTATATCTACCGCAATTCCAAGATTTTATATTTTACAGGAAATATACAAGTATAATGTGTATTTCTGAAGCTTTTTTTATACCTTACATTATTGTGTGGGCCTTCATGAGAAATTCATGTACATCTTTTCATTGGAGACAAGAAATTGGAATTGATGTTGGAGTTGATGTCTGAGCTGTGATGACTGTTGGCTACCCACTGCCTGAATTATCATCATTCTTGAAATGCAGACTTTTATATAAGCTTGTAGAAAGAAGAGACTATTTTAGCAGGCATGCAGATGTACAAGATTCAAAAATTGCTTTGCACCAGCAAAAGAAGAAGAAAGTCAGTAAAACACAACAGGCACTCATGACATGTAGTATAAAGAGTAGTGATGGGATGGGATGCAACAAGTACTTACACTGTGCATGGCTGGTGTCAGACCCCCAGCTATTTGCTACAGTAGGATGGAATTCTCAGCTGCCCAGCCTTGTCCAGGCTTCCTCAGCTTCTGCCAGTCTCTTCTGCAGCATAGGGAGGCAGTAGCTTATTGAGCACCAATGTATTTATTTTTATGTTGATACCACATTCCCAAAAGGAACCTTGGCTACAATTTCAGCTGGTCTCACCACACTGTCCAAATCCTTTGTCAAGAGCAGCTGGGAAAAGAAGTCACTCAGATTTCTGCATGGTGCATTGCTGGTACGCCTCCTCCCTCTCACTAATCCTGTTAATTCCAGCCTTCATTTGCCACCTTCCTGGTTCTTTCTTGTTGCTGTGACTGACTGCACCAAGTGGTTTTGAGTTAGAAAGATGACCTTAAAATAGGCACCTTGAGTAACCTCTACCTTGGACATCTTTGACTTTCAGGTAAAATATGTCTTACGACACAAAAGAGCAACTCATGGTCTCAGCTCATATCTTATCTTAATCCAGGAAGAAAGTCACAACAATCTCTTCCATGAAAATCCTTCCAGAAATACCTGCCTGGCTGAGAAGCTCTCGGTGGATTACTGAAAGGGATGAGTGGTCTGATACTCTGTACCTTGCATCAAACTTCTCCAGTGATGCCTTTCACCCTGTGAACAGCCTTTGGCAACAGCAGTAGTAATAATTCTGCCAGCATCTCTCTATCCAATCTGTAGTGCCATCTCTATGCAGAGAAAGGGTTATGGAGAAACAGTCATTTTGTTGTATCATATTTTGGGAACCAGTTGAGCTTCAGATGGAAGATGAGGCGATTCCTACTATTGTGTTTCCCGTTTCGGGAGGGCAAAGAATCAGTTATGATCAGTTATTATGGATATTTGGTTTCACATTTGTTCTTAGCGTTATCTTTCTAAAGCCATTGTTATTCCATGCACTACAGCAACATCCTGAATCACCTTTCTCTCCCCTGCTGACATCCATGATTCCATAAGGAAGGATAGGAGGGAAAAAAATACTTCTTCTCTAGCATATTTATTGAAGCTATCCCATGTCAGATAATAACAGGTAAGCCTGTATTACCAGACGGAGCAGAAGGAAGAGAAGTAGAGAAAGGCCTTCTCCTTAAGCTGTTTTTTGGTACTCTTTGTGGAAGCAAGGAGCCACTACCTTATGACCAGCAATAAACACATATTGGTGGGTCTAAAAAAATAGATGCACCACAAATTATGAACAGGGTGTGCCTGTGTTTGAGCTTATCCAGATACCAGAAAACTGTGAAAGTCTCATTAATCTCAGCAGAGCATGAAGCTCTGCCAGAAGCAGCATTCTCAGTCCTTCTCTGATGATGTTAATGGGGTAATGGCCAACTCAGCTATTACTTCTCAGTTAGAGCCGAGGATATGTGTTCACTTCTAATGATCAGAAATTACATTTATTGTTTAACTTGTGACAACAGCCTGCCTCTTACACCTTCGGTCAACTTCTTGCCTTTCTTTTATGAAAGAAAGACTTTCATGAAAGCCTTTTTCCTGTTGCTACTGGTCTCATGCCACATCCTCAAGGAAAGGATCTTCCAAGTTTCAGGTACATTGGGAAAACAGAAATTCAACGAAGAACAGCCTCTAGAAATTGGCTTCCCTGTTTGAGAACTTGAACTCAGCTGGAATTTCAGGAGCCTTCACTTCTGACAGACTCAAAGAGAGCTCCTAAGCAGGATAAGTAATAACTTCAGGCAGCTGGCATTTTTGCCTGACTGGAGGCTGAGCTTGTTCTCAGTAGTTAGGTGGTGGCAAACTGCCTGCATTTCCTTGTGTTGGAAATGTCATTCAAAATCAGGTGTGCAAAGACTATGGAGAGGTTATATAATGTCTTGGCTACCAGTGTCTCACATCTGGCCATTTGGCGTTAAGCTACCTATAGAGAGGATGACTTTGCCCATCCAAATTGGATTTTGTTTTAATCTGGCATTACTTTATTGAGGCTAAAAATAGAAGCCAAAATGTGTGTGAATAGGATAAAAGGAGTGTCTGAAGTTATGAAATGAAATGTGTCGAAGAGCCAGAGAAGAGAAAGCCACAACAAACCAGAGAGTAGGAAACTGAATAAGGAAAAGCAGAATGAAAGCTGTCAAATACAGAAGGGCATTAGCAGTCAGGGGGAGGAGCCCACCCAGTGTCTTCTAAGTAATATGAAGAGGAGAGACCCTCAGAGAGGCTTCCACCACCACGTCTCCATTTGTTATTAAGACTGCTCGCTGCTCTTTTACTGTAGAGAGACTTTGCTCAATTGTATACAGTTGTGTGCATCCTGTTTGAGTCATCCCCCTCAAGTGCTTTATCATGCCTGGGAACGGCTGCTTTCCTTCATCTGCCCATTTCAGCAAGCCAACTTGAAATTGTGCCCAAAAGATGGGGGAGGGAAGGTTGGCCTTCAGTTGCCAGCTGTCCTAGCTTGCTAGTGTCAATCACCCAAGGATATAAATAAAACCTATCTATTTATTGCCTTTCTTAGATGTACTGTATAGTACCAAGAGAATGCTGGACATCACACTTGGATTATAAATTCCCTCTGCTTTGGGATAAAGGATCTGAATTTCTAGAGTTATTAGGGTTTTTCAGGGAGAATGTAAGCTCCTGTTTTCAGCACAGGAAGATTCAGGAGATTTGGACATTTAAGTCTGTGGCAGAAGTGAGAAGTTTGGGTATGATGAAATAGAACTAACCAGTGCTAAAAAAAATGTTAGCACAGGTCCCTGACCTAGTACTGTCAACCAGCTTGGTACTCTGCTCTATCTCATTCCTGCAACTTGGAAGCAGAGTAGACTATGTGCTGGTGTCTAACTAAAACTGTCTACATCTGTGCTGGGAAAATCTATATAGCACTGCATTATAGCATGCAAATATCCCTTTTACATAGCTGTGATTTCCTATGACTCAGGCATATTCACAAAATTGAGATAAACCTTTTGCCTCTGTTTAACTGTTCTAAATATGAAAGTGGTGTTTTTGCATGTAGTTGTGGATGACATGTAAGCATGTGGACAGACATATAGGCAGATACTTCATGTTTCAACACCTTGTTAAATATTTGTATGTGGTGCTCACCACAGAGAATCAACACTTCATGTTGGCTGCTGTCACTAATAATCTGAGGTTTTTCTGTTGCCCCTGCTCAACCAGAACTTAAAAGGATGCAGAGTGCTCGCAAGTAGCTTTGAAATATTAAAACTTTATCAAGTTACATATGTTAATATTTCTGAAATAACTGAATTGTAGCAATGGGCATGAGCTAAGCTATGCTTATGGTAAGAATGCACATATTTATATTTAGGCATGTAAACACCTCTCCCCGCGTTGAGTCCTCAAGGTAGCCACGCAAGGGGAGCTTTCATTAGGTGTTTCTAATTCCATTTGTGAGAAAATATAAACTGTGTAGTGCGTTTCTGTAAGACAAAGAAGGCTCAAATGCCTCTTCAAGATGGGAAGATGAGGTTGAAGTCGGCTGTCTCTTCCGTATGCCTTCATTTTCTTAATATCAGGATCTCGTCAAGGGACAGTTTTCTGGACTGGTATCCTATCTTAATACACATGGTTGACAGTTTTGTTCCTAATTCAGGTTCCAAACTTTCTGTGCAGTGACAGAGCTGGCAGTGCTGCTTTCTAAACATCTTTCCAGATCCTCTGTGCTGTGTGATGCTTGGCTCTACGCTGGGCTTTCAAGGAGAGTGTATTTTTTAAAATAAAGCAGTATTTTTAATAAACTCAGCTCTCAACAAGTGTCGCTCACATTTAGGAGCAAGCTGATGAGCTAAATACAGCAGACAAGCTTTACCAACTAGATTAGCTGTAAAATGCAAACTGTCCAAAATAAATGTAGTACATTTCTAAGTGTTTTGGAATTTTCTTTTTAAAGGAATGTCTGAGGATTTTTATGAAAAAGAAGTGACAATGACATTGACTTTTTCCCATAACATGCCTAAATAGGAAAATGTAGCAGTATACAGAATTAAAATCCCTCTCTTCAATGGTGGGAAGAAGAAAATCTTTCCAATCCCCATCATGTTTCTTTTAAAGATAAACTTTTTCACATGCCCACTATTCTGGCATGCAGGTCCTCAGCATCTTTTGGAGTGCGGGAGTAGATTCCCATGCAAGCAAATAAGTAAAAGGTGCAGAAAACAAAAGTGTTCTGATATGGGAGAAGGATTGAGAAATACTGGAGCAGCATGCGAAGAGGTGAGTTACATAAGGAAGTGCAGAGGGTATTTTGAGGCTTGAAAGGAACACTAAGAGCACTTTTTCAGACAGCGGCTTATTACTTTAGGTTTGTCACACTGTTATGTGATCTTTCTGTAGAGGAAAGCTGTATTATAGGGAGATTCAGATTAGGAAGAATTCAGATTTCTGGTGGTAGCTGAGATTTGCAGGGTGGTGCAGCAGCATTTCAATAAAACAGACTGCTCTGAGTACTCAAAAGCTTTACCTTCTGATATTTTTGTTTGTTTTGTTTTGTTTTGTTTTGTTTTTCCTCCAGCTTCTGCTTGCAGAAAAGGACTAGCATTGAACACCAGGTGAGGAATCCAGAGTCTTGCTTCCAAGTATGGGGCAGAGGAAAGAGGCAGCAGTGACTTCAGACCACCACACTCCTGTAACATCCAGGGCAGGGTGAACAGGAGTCCCTGCTGAGAGGACAAGCTACAGAGGAGAGTACCTGAGCATCTGTGGAAGCTGGAGATGCAGCTGTAAGCTGATGACTGCCTCTGAGAACTTCTGCTGATGAGTCTGGGGGTCTCTTCCAATTCTTCCTGATCACTAACTGTGAGATCTTTTTATAACACAGAGGTTCTCCACCTGTCTGTATTGTTTCTCCCAAGGTCCAAGTTTGAATGTAAAGATTCCCCATTTGCGCAGCCATTTCAGGCTGTCTTAGTCTGGTAGCAGCCAGTATTCTTTGCTGCCATCACAGCAACCAGCAGCAGGGAAAAATCTTAGACCATATGAGTAGAAACATCCTTACCGTTGCCATCTTGAATTTTGGCACAGAGCCATGGAAATGCTCAGTTTGAATAAAGTAATTTCATTTGTTTGTTTTGATTATAATTTCAGTTATTAATTCACACCTCCAAAATATTTGCTCTTAGATGGGATTTTAAATCTGTCATTGTTTCGCTGCTGGATGCTTATATTTGTGTGGTTTATTTTTGCATTTTGATTTGTGTTTGTTTAGGCTATATAAACGTCTTTAATTGGCTGATTGTTTCAGACCCAAGGTTGAACTCTGAGGCCCAGGTGGCTCCTATCAGTTGCAATAGTGGCTTGGTGAAGCGCTTCAGTTAAAATTTTCCTAATGTTATGAAAATTAATTTGCTTGTGTTAGAAAACAACATCAGCAGCTGGAAAATATATTGGAGAGAAGATCCACCCTTGCTTGAAATGAACAGGAAGCAGCTTCAGCTCTGGCTCTTCGCTGATGCCAGGTTAAAGGAAAGCTTGCCTGTTTTCATGGTATTTTCCAGCTTTTCCCTTGCAAGCAGTATGATTGTGGTTCCCAGAGAGTACAGTGTTTCCTGTTGTTTGCATCAGAGCCCTCAGAGGTTGCATTTTATGAGCCCGTTTGATCTGTTTTCTTATTCCACAACTCCCTTGTCATTTCTGCGCTGCATAATCAGTGTTAAGAGATCATTCTTGTATGTTGACAAATTAGATAATGATCAATCCAAAAGGCTGACAGAAACAGTGTCAGAGAGGAGAAGTGTTTTCTCTTGGAAGATTGCTTGCATTCATGTTCACTCTTGTGTTGTGCATACTTCTTGTCATTCAAGACCAGATGAATTGTAAAAAGATTAAATAATTATTTTCATTGCCCATTAGCTTAACTGTCGTTTGCTCCAGGCATGAACTCATAGGAAAGAACATGCATTTTTCTATTTCTGTTCCATTCATGCATGTGACAGAGATCAAATACTTAATTTATCCAAAATCTTACTTCATTGGCTTATGTTTCAGTTCCTAGGCAGTCATGATTCTGTTTGCTTTCCTTGCATCTTTCATCTGTGTTCTTCAAGTATCACTGCATCATTTGTCCTCTGCTTTTTCCACTATCCTCAATGACCAGGAGTTCTGAAAAATCTTGTGATGTTACTTTCAGATCAAGTCTCTTCTGTACTCTTCCAATTACACTCAGGGATCTCTGAGATACATGTTTCTAATGTTCTAACGTGTGTTACATTGTTGATTCATCATTAGTGAAAATTCAGTTGCAGAATTTTTTACTTCAAACTACTGCATCCAAGCTGCTTCAAAATCTTGGGTCTGTCTTCTGATAGCCCACTCTGCCACATTTGGTGTTGGCTGTAGCCTCTAGCTGTTTCAGAACTATCTAAAGAGCAGTTTCCCTACAAGATCTAGCTTCAGGAGATAACTGATTTTTATTCCTTGCTTCCTCCTAGGGAATCCAAATTATCCTTATTCGACTAGGTATCATGTGCAGGACTGAGTAGCTGTGGCATACGCATCCTTGCAGAATTCTGATTTTATCTGTTTCTGTTATCTAGTTTCTTTATTCAGGTGATTACAGCCACCATTGAACCTGTTCTCAGTTTTAGAACATAGATACTTTGCACAGCTAGCCCAGGAAAGGTGATTATCTTCAGAGGATCTTTAACAGAAACAGCATTCTGTAATTGATAATTCTGGCAAATTTGTGCTTATTATGAAAGTAGGTTAATTTTTTGTCAGTTTTTGTCAGTTTTTGCCAGTCTCCTACCCACTGATTTTCAGCTAACGTTGTACTCAGTTATAGCCAGCATGTTTTCTGAGCTTCTTTGCACTACATGTTAAACGTAGTCAACTATACATCTGTAACTGTGATGACTTAGTAAAAATGTATCAGACATCTTGTCTCTAAGATTTTTGAAGTGTCCTGAGAAATGCGTGTTGCAGTAGGATACCTTCCTTTGGAAGGGACTGGTTTTGTCAGTTTTAGAAGCTGTTAAGTCTTACATCCCTTGTTTCTTCTGTTTTTTTTTTCTTCTTTTTTTCTTCTGTTTCTAACAAATAAAAAATCCAGAGATATTGAGACTTGTCCTTTATTTTGAGACACTTAGATTTTGAACTCCTCTTCAGCCTCTGGATATGTTAGGGCAGCCAGAGCATCAAAGGAAATGTGAGTGTTACTTTGTGCATCTGCTGATCCCAGCTCTGAGTGCTACTGCTGTTACCTGAGGAGCACGTGCAGTAATACAGCAGAGAGTCAGGAGGGGATCCTGCAGTTCTAGCCTCTTACTTTCTTTACTTCCATGTGATCTTCAGCCTTGAGTCCTTCTGTGTGTTTGTGCATGCTGGGTGCTGTGGGCCAAACGTAACATCCTTAATTTGTCTCTTTGCAGGTCTGCTATTTCCATGTCTGTCAAAAATCTCTCTTAAAGTGCTTCAGTTAAGAAATTCAGTAGAGCTGCATGAAACTGTTTTTTTAGCATCTTGGAGTGAGTGCATTTTCCAGAAAATGTTTTCTTGTACAAGAAAGGAAAGGAGAATGGTGAAGCATTTTGGATTTATAGTATTTGAACATGAGGGGAGTACAATTATACGTATACTCCTCACGTGGAGCTTACTTTGTCTCTCTTTGCTTTTATGACATTAACTTTCCTATGCTCACCAATGAGTTTCGTTGAAAGTGCTCTTGTTTACTATTAGAAAATTGCCAGTACAAAGCCCACAGTAATCATTCAGGCAACTCGTTCAGTGGTGAGACCAATTGATGTTACCAGGGGATCCTCTTCTCTCCTACTTGATGTTTGCATCACTTCTAAGTGAAGGAGTCTGCTTTGTGACAAACAGTCTTTCTTGTTTGTTTTGAACAGGTGCACACCAGAGTCCTGAAGGGTGAGGTAATACAGAGTTTATGCAGACATTTTGTGCTGTGTTCAGGTGATGAGCACACTACAACATTAAGAGAGAGATGTGAGATTCCTTCCAAGAAACATCTGACTTAAGGTTTGCTTAATTAAACTTCCAAGGACTTTTTCCCTTTCATTCCTACATTTGCTTCCCATTGGAATCCTGGGCTTACTGTTTGAACCCGTATGGGTTATTTGGTGTTATTTAGTGCTATTTAAATAGTTGGATTTAAAAATTTTTTTTTTTTTTGCAGTATCTGGCTGATTGATCCTGTTCATACAGTTTCCTTTGGGCACACGCTATTCCTGTGAATCTGGCATGTGTTTTTCCAAAAAGAAATTTCTGAGCTTTATATAAACGTGGGACTTGACCTATTTTTCTTCTTTCTAGAACCTCATGTTTCTAGAGCTAAGACATTCTTGCTTATGCTAAACATCAAAAGGATCTAATTTCTACAGAATGGGGTCTGCCAGACAGTCCTGGAGATTGGTTATAACAAGAACACAAAACTTAGTGTTCACAGTTTTATTAATGCAGAAACTCTTAAACTGGAAAGAAGATGAGTAAGGAGAAATGTAAGGGAGAAGGTGAAAAGGAAATCATTGTTCTAGTTTTGAATCAAATGGAACTAGCAGATAACACATTCGAAGCAAAGGGGAAGAGAAAAACTGCTTTCTTTCACAGTATTTAATTTACCTGTGGAACTTCTTGTCACAAGGTAGATGGAGACAAAAGCATGCTTGTGGTTTGAAAAGGCAAGTACACAAATTCATGGAAAATAAATCTATTAAGGTATATTAAATATAACCAAAAAACAAGCAGAAAGTTTCTAAGCCTTTTCAGGTGATTGTTTAGGGGAAGTCTCATGATGGATTTTTCCAATTCTTAGCTTGTCTGTCAGGTATAAGCTGCTGACTACTTGTCACAGAGAAGAGGTAGGCCATAGGCAGTCTTGTAGTCTGACTTTGTATGAGTGTTTCATTTGGTCAGTCGCAGTGCAGCCTGCTGGAGCAGCCAAAGTAAAGCTGCCTTTCATGACAGTGGCATGTTCCACCCGAATTCACTGGTGTTGGTGGTGTTGGGTTCTCTAAGGAAAGTCTTAATTGCTGACATTCACCAAGATTGTCCGCACCTCCACCTGGACAAGCTCTGTATATGCTGCAGAAGCTTTCAAAACATTGAAGCTTTTACAAGTGCGTAAGATTCACCTCTAGACCAACCAATCACTTGTGATTTTAGAGGAAAGTGGGTTGCAGTTTGGAAGTCATCCATAACGTGATGTGTGAATGGTTATTCACTTAAATATGGAAAAGAAAGTTACTTATCACTAACAGAAGCTCTTACATTATCTTGTACATGCACACATTTGCTTCTTGCCATCTTTGTCTTCTAAAATGCCTGAGCGCCGAGAACCTTCAGGGTGAATGTGCACAACCACAGCACACCTTAAACAATTACAGTACTTGGTAGCTTTTCTTCTGACTTTAGAACCCAACTACCCTTTCCAGAAGATGGGATCAAGTTTCTGTGCTGCTCTAGAGATGAGTAGTTAAGAAACAGAAGCAGGTCATCTCCAAACTTACTGGATTCTGTGCAGTTTCACCACGAAGGACAAACTCCCCTGAACAAAAGGTGACAAATGAGGCACCATGAGGAGTCTGCTCTGTCTGTTACCTTACCAAAAAAGGATTTTATTGGCCTTCATTGAAAATGAGTTTTCACTTCTGTTTCCAATTTAAAGGAAAGAATCACTGATGACTGTGGACACCCTGGTGTGAAGTCTTTACCAGTGGTATTCAGTGAATCATAATCATTCCCTAGGGAAAACAGTATACTTAACAGGGCCTCTTCTCTAAAAGTCCGTGCCTACAGTGCACACAATGAACTTGAGAAATTTTACATTCTTTACAAAGGGATTGCTTCTTATCTGACCTCTTAGTTTAAAAAAAAAGAAAAAGTCTTAAGGAACAAATCTGATGCAATTATTAAGAATTTCAGGGAATCACAATCTATTTTCATCGTCTATTTGGGACAGCTGCAGGTGGTATCATCTCTAAAAGGAATTTCAGCATTGTATGTGGCTTTTTGCCTATGTGCTGTGAGCACTACCGTGTTAAAATTCATGAGACAATCTTTGAAAAGTTCCTTTACTGCCAAGTCCAAATGTTTAGCTGTCACTGCTTTGTC